TGCCTTACAATACCATAACATTTTAATGCCTTACTATACTAATGACGTTTTTTTTGACATTTTATGCCTTAACACACTATAACATTTTTATGATATTTTATAACTTACTTATACAATGACGTGTCTATGCCTTACTATACTATGACATTTTTATGATATTTATACCTTACTATACAATGAAGTTTTAATGCCTTAAGTATACTATGATGTTTTTGCCTTATTATATTATGGCTTTTTTTTTACATTTTTTTGCTTAAGTATATTATGACGTTTTTTTTTTACTTTTTTATGCCTAAATTATATACTTTTTATGCCATAATACAATATGACATTTTTATGATATTATATACCTTACTATACAATGACATTTTTATGCCTTACTATACTATGATGTTTTTTTGACATTTTATGCCTTAGTATACCATTGACGTTTTTATGATATTTATGATCTTATTAATACTATGACATTTTAATGATATTTTATACCTTACTATACCAATGACATTTTTATGCCATTACTATACTATGGACGTTTTTTGACATTGTGATGCCTTAGTATACCATTGACGTTTTATGATATTTTTATGCCTTACTTACTCTTGAACATTTAAATTTTATGCCTTAATACACGTATGACGTTTTATATGAATAAAAAAAAACGTCATAGTATAGTAAGGCATTAAAATGTTATGGTATTGTAAGGCACAAAATGTAAAAAAAAAAACACAGAAACAACCAGTTGTGTATTAATAGAAATTCTTTAATGGCAACTGTTCATTGAGTGAAGGAGAGAGTTTTGGAGGAATGTTGGGGGAAGCGATGAATCATTGTTGTAGTAGGAGGAATGTGGAGGTGGATGGTTGGCGTGGAGCAGGTGAGGGTCATGGCCGAAACTGTCAGCACAGCAGTCATTTCCAACAGGAGCAGGTAGCAGAACTGGAGCAGGGATGAACTGGCATAAGGCCAGGCATAAAAATATCACAGTATACTAAGTCATAAAATATCAAAAAATGGTCACAGTGTATTAAGGCATAAAAATGTCATATTATAGTAAGGCATAAAATGTCAAAAAAAACGTCATAGTTTATGAAGGCATAAAAATGTCATAGTATACAAAAGCATAAAATATCATAAAAACGTCATAGTATACTGAGGCATAAAACGTCAAAAAAATGTCATAGTATAGTAAGGCATAAAAACATCATTGTATAGTAAGGTATAAAATATCATAAAAACTTCATAGTGTATTAAGGCTTAAAAAAGTCATAGTATAGTAAGGCATAAAAATGTCATGGTATTGTAAGGCACAACATGTAAAAAAAACGCAGAAACAACTAGTTGTGTTGTTGTAAAAGTTATTTAATGGCAACTGTTCAATGAGTGAAGGAGAGAGTTCTGGAGGAATGCTGTGGGGGGCGAAGAATCCTGGTTGTTTTAGGAGGAATGTGGAGGTGGATGGCTGGCGTGGAGCAGGTTAGGGTCATGGCTGAAACTGTTGGCTCAGCAGTCATTTCCAACAGGAACAGGCAGCAGAACTGGAGCAGGCATGAACTGGCATAAGGCCAGGCATAAAAAATCATAGAATAATAAGTTGTAAAAAAAATCAAACTATAGTAAGGCATAAAAATGTCATTGTATAGTAAGGTATGAAATATCATAAAAACATCATACTATAGCAAGGCATAAAACATCATAGTATAGTAAAGCATATAAAAAGTCACATTATAGTAAGACAGAAAAAAATCATAATATAGTAAGGTGTTACGTTCTGGTTAAAATGCTGTTTGGACCCCAGTGCAGATTTAGACACAGAAACAACCAGTGGTGTAGTAATGAAAGTTCTTTAATGGCAACTGTTCAATGTTTGAAGGAGAGAGTTCTGGGGGAATGTTGGAGGGGGGGCGAAGGATCTTGGAGGTGGATGGCGGGCATGGTGCAGGTGAGCGTCGTAGCTGGAACTGTCGGCACAGCAGTCATTTCCAGAAGGAGCAGGCAGCAAAACTGGAGCAGGCATGAACCGGCATAAGGCCAGGCATAAAAAGTCATAGAATAATAAGTTGTGAAAAAAAATCACAGTATAGTAAGGCATAAAATGTCAAATAAATGTCATAGTATAGTAAAGCATAAAAACGTCATAGTATACTAAGGCATAAAAATGTCATAGTATAGTAAGGCATAAAATGTAAAAAAAAATGTCATAGTATAGTAAGGCATAAAAACATCATGGTAATGTAAGGCACAAAATGTCAAAAAAAAACACCATAGTATACTAAAGCATAAAATGTAAAAAAAGAAAAAACATAGTATACTAAAGCACAAAATGTCAAAAAAATGCCATAGTATACTAAGGCATAAAAACGTCATTGTATAGTAAGGCAAAAAATGTCAAAAAAAATCATAGTATACTAAAGCAAAAAATGTAAAAAAAAAAAAAAATAGTATATTAAGGCATAAAATGTAAAAAAAAAAAAAAATAGTATATTAAGGCATAAAATGTAAAAAAAAAAAAAAATAGTATATTAAGGCATAAAATGTAAAAAAAAAAAAAAAATAGTATATTAAGGCACAAAATGTAAAAAAAAAAAGCAGAAACAACCAGTTGTGTAGTAATAAAAGTTCTTTAATGGCAACTGTTCAATGACTGAAGGAGAGAGTTCTGGAGGAATGTTGGGAGGGGTGAAGGATCCTGGTTGTTGCATAAGGATCGTGGAGGTGGATGGTTGGCGTGGAGCAGGTGGCTGTCAGCGCAGCAGTCATTTCCAGCAGGAGCAGGCAGCAGAACTAGAGCATGAACTGAGATAGAGAGAGAGACACTGGTGAGGATTCATCCAAGACAACAAGAGTTTAAGTAGCCTGGTGTTTTACCACATAGATAGTGGAACAATCTGGTGACGAGTGAGTGGAGAGCCGGTGTTCTTATACTGAGCTTGATGAGTAATGAAAAACAGGTATGTGCCACATTGCCATATTGTGTGACCTGATCCTTCAAGGACTGGCTGTCAATTGTCAGGGCATCAAGTTCTTTTAAAGCCAATGCTGTGTTATGTGGTGTGCTTGAAAATAAAATTTCACTTGAACTACAAATGTCTTTGTATTGCTGTTTTTATTCTACTTCGTAATGATATTGTAATATAATATAATATAATGTACTATAGTAATATAAAAACTAACTTCTTACATTTCAACATGGGATTGGGATTGTGTAACAGACATTTTCATGCCAAACAATGAATTTATTAATAGAGAAAATAATCAATATTCATCAATAATGAAAACTGAAGTTGCAGCCCCCATCTACACACTGTCAGGAATATAACTTTAGATACTGTATTTCTCCCTGTACTAACTTGTTTTGCCCAAAATTAGTTTAATTGAACCTAAACATTTGTAAATGTGTGTGAAAAACAATTGAAATCAACCTGTTTTGTTAAAAAAAAACAAAAAAAAAAACAACAACAACAACAACAACAACAAAAGAAATGTATATATATTTTTCCAGAAACAGTGCTGAGGACATGATCTTGGACTCCTCAGTGATAACAAAGAAGTTATAAGTTACTGTGCAGTGTCCCTTTAACTTGCCTGGTCATGTACCAGAGATCCTGCCTCTCTCACAGTTTGATCCCTCCCGCGCCAAACTGAGGTCCGGTCTGATCATGGCTCGACCAAACTACCTAAAAACGGTCATAGTCGTCTCAGAGGTGATCAACTGTTGACATCTTCGGCCGGTGAGTTCCTTTTTAAATAATACATAATACATAATTTACTGTAAACAGAGCTACGCGCCGCTGTCACATGACCTGATGCATTTTCTTCTTCTGTCTATCTTCTATAATCAAACCTGTGATACATCTTAACCGATCGGTTGTATCACTTCAGACACTTTAATCTAAGATACTTTAGTCTTAACAACATGAACTTCTGATCTTCCAGCGCAGGCGTGTTGCGTAACGGGCTCATTTATGCAATCGTGGATCTTCACTGACCACAGACCCCAGTCATACCAATACTTTCTCTTAACCACTGCTTCCTGCTCCCTCTTCTCCTTTACGCTCTTCTCACCTTTTCCTCTGAGGAACAGTTTTGATATATTCATACTTAAACGCCTGAATCACCCAAACTGCAACATAATAATAGTTATAAAAACAATGATAGTGTTTTTCTGACCGGCGCTGATATTTTGGGCTCTATGTGCCCATGAAGTATTGGATATACACTGACAGAGCACTTTATTAGGAACACCTACACGTCTGCTTATACATGCAACTACACGCAGTGCATAACATCCTGCAGATACAGGCGAGGAGCTTCAGTTAATGTTCACATCAAACATCAGAAAAACTATGTGACCTCAGTGATTTCCACTGTGGCGTGTGACTGTGTATTTTTGTTATAATAATGTGCTCAATAAACAGACGTGTTGAAGAGTAGAAAAAACATATTTACAGTAGAAAGATCCATAGTGGGACATTAATGTAACACATAAACCCAGATGAATTATGGACCATTTTTCAATCTACACCTACATTTTTATTGCTTTCTATTATTATTATTATTATTATTATTATTATTATTATTATTATTTAAAATTAAGGTGTAATTATGTTTCTGTAAGAACTGCTGCTCTCAGATTTTTTTACTTTGTCACAGTTTGTGGTAAGCTTGACCCAAAATGCAACACAAGGGAGTAAATGCTTTAATAGCGTTTTAATAACAAAAAGTCTTTATTTCCGAAACTCAAAATCCAAAAAGGGTAAAACAGGACAAACCAAACAGGAAGCCCAAACACGAGGTAACACAAGGAACTTAAACAGAAGCTGAAGCATGAGGAAACACAGGGGACAATAACAGATAACACAAGGAACTTCAACAGATACCAGAGGGGAGAATAACAGATGAACCGACACACACAAAGGGGAGCACAGAGACTAAATAGACTTATCGTTCTACTTTTCAGTCAAATCACAGTTGACACTTCTGCGACCATCAGATGCATCACATCCTGTACACTGGAGGATTTTTACTGGGAAGCACCCACCAGACAGTGAGTGTTTAAAACTGCAGAGTTAAACTTTTCATAAAGTTGCTTCAGTATTTCAAGGAAAATTCAAGCCTGTCTTACCTCCTTTTATAGGCCTGGCGCAAGTGTTGCTCGAGTTTTGCCAAGATGATGCGGGCAGTGTGTGTTGACGTACCAGGAGGACCAGAGAACCTGCTGCTGCGGACTGTCCCCAGACCTCAACCTAAAGACGGAGAAATCCTGGTTAAAGTTCATGCAACTGCCCTCAACAGGGCAGACTTACTACAGGTACAATACAATACACATTCTTACGAAGGATGCTTAATACCTTCTACTGTAAATATGATGTGAATGTGAGTCACTGTGGTTATTTTATTACCTGTGATTTGTAAAAAAAAAAACAGCGCAACAGAATTCAGATGTTTTGCACTCAAACAATGAAGTACATATAAACCTGGTCTAATAATACTTACTATTTGTTTCCCATAGAGGCGAGGGCTGTACCCGCCTCCCCCAGGTGAGAGTGACATCATAGGCCTGGAGGTGGCTGGGACTGTGGATACTCTGGGCCCTGGGGTGAACAGAGGCTGGAAGCCAGATGACAGGGTCATGGCATTGCTCTGTGGAGGAGGATATGCAGAATACGTTGCTGTGCCTGAGGAGCTCCTCATGCCTGTTCCCCCGACTCTCACACTCTGCCAGGCTGCTGCGATCCCAGAGGCCTGGCTCACTGCTTTTCAGCTGCTGGCTCTCATAGGTACACCAACCTTTTTTTATTTGCCTCCACCAAGGAAGTTATGTTTTTACCAGTGTCCGTTTATTATTAAGTACTGAATCGATTTGCAGTGTTTCTACTTTCTATAATCAACAACAGGCCAATATTAAATTCTGTTCCTGTGTCTTGTCGCCCTCTGTCTTCTCTGCCACAGCTCAGGTGAAGGAGGGTGAGGTGGTGCTGGCTCATGCTGGAGCCAGTGGAGTGGGAACAGCCGCCGTTCAGCTGGTTCGTCTGTTTGGTGCCGTGCCCATCGTTACTGCTGGGAGCCCAGAGAAGCTGAAGATGGCTGAGGAGCTGGGAGCAGCGGCCGGGTTTAACTACAAAGAGAAAAGCTTCGCGCAGGGAGTTCATGACTTTACAGGAGGTGAATTGTGTAGCTGCATTGACAGTTGCCTATTGCCCATGTTAACTATTATATATATTTTTATATTTATTTAAATATAGTTGATGGACAACAACAGAGGAATAAGGAATATATAAAGATTTGCTTTGACTATATTTGTTTGTAGGATCAATCCATTGTTGGTTCTGGTCTTTTTTATCCCTTATCTCTAATTTTGTAGTAAATAAACACAGTAATTATATATATAATACTGTTTAAACTGATTCAATATGCAGTTATATTATTTATGAGACTAAAGGCTTAAGAAAAGGTAACCCATGTCGATTGTTGGAGGTCAGGGTCAAACGTAGAACAGCAGATTCAGTGTCAAGCTGCTTCACAGTTCAACAGAATAACCACGTTGTAATCTCACAGGCAAGGGAGCAGACGTCATACTGGACTGCATCGGGGGGTGTAACTGGGAGCAAAATGTGAGCTGCTTAGCCACTGATGGCAGGTGGGTGCTGTACGGCACCATGGGTGGCAGGGCAGTAGAGGGAGATCTTCTGGGCAAACTGCTCTCCAAGCGAGGACACTTGCTCAGCAGCCTCCTCCGCTCTCGCAGCCTGCAGGTGAGAATTCAAGCCAAACGAAAGTGACACGCCTCTGCATGTGAGCGTGCTGACTCAGACTGTTTTGCATGTCTCTACCTGAGGCTGATTGGTGCTTTGCATTTTCTCCTCGCAGTACAAAGCGGACCTGGTCAGCGCTTTTTCACGCAGAGTATTACCGTATTTCTCAGACCGGGCCGCCTCCTTGAGGCCAGTGATCGACAGCACGTTCACCCTGGAGCACATCGCAGAGGCCCACAGGCACATGGAGGCCAACAAGAACACGGGGAAGATTATCGTTGATGTGATTCCACAGAAACAGGAAACTCAGTGATGAACAGCTGCAGTGGTTTTAACAGAAATGTAATTGCTCAGAAATGTGCATTTGATTTAAGTCAAGGAATCTTACAACAGTGTTATTTGAAAACTACTTGTCTCACACGAATGTTGATCATGATTTTAAATATAATAGTTCACAGGTGATATTGCAGTGCAGTTTCTTCTGTACTGTCATAATAAAACTGATTCAGGAACACTCACTTCTAAATGTTTATTATCAGTATTGTGTTCATGCTGGAGATAGAGAGAGGATCCACACATGGAGTTATAGTGTTACTTAGTACACACCTTCACTGACTGTTTAATTTTTTTTTTAGTTCAAGTTCATGAAATAAAAAGTAATTGCACATTAACATTTGAATAAAGGCTCAATTGTTTATGTCTGTTTGTTTGTTCAAATAAATTGTAAACATATATACCTATTTATGAATTTACATCCTGCCTATTTAAATACTTGGTTGCATTTAAATAGGCACCAAACTGACAGAAGGTTTTTGGTCTGTTAAGTTTATTTCATCATACATGTACACTGACTTTCTGTTTGCCTCAAAAGGTGCATTATTTGATTATCAAACTTTTTCAGAATGATCATAAAGGATTTTTTCATGATAAATCTAATTTCTATTTCTGCCAAGCACCACATGCATAAACAAAACCTTTGGGTAATGCATTAAAATAAGCAGTTACTTTGGTTTAAATGCTTCTCCTTCAAGGAAATTACAAGTTTTGGCATAATTAGTATCAAATTACGTATATTTTTGAAAAAGAACATTATAGGGAATTACAGACATGTAAAATAAAGTGTTGTCAACATTTGTTTATTGCATTTACATATGAATTGATGCTTTGAATAGATTGTTCAAACCTCTTCCACTTCAAAAGTAACAACTCTGTCTATTTACTCTTTGAATGCTCCTCAGCTCTTTATCTATTTATATTTGAATTTATTTTATGTTTCTCCTTTAATATACCTATTTGATACGTATGCATCGTTTTTTTTCTTTCTTGCTTTCTTTCTTTTTTTTTTTTTTTTTTTTAAGAAACTTTATTAACTTGTGAAACTTCCTGCTTCCCTGCAGCCGGTGTCGTCTGCGCTTTTCCTCCGGTCGTGAGGGAAAGTTTTAACAGAAGAAACCGTGGAGCGGCTTCACTTCATGGATTAAACTTTAAGACAATCACAGGACAACTTCCGGACTCTATGATTCGACCAAAAACATCGACATTTATTCATCCAGTATGTACAATTTAATATGTAAACTCCTCCCAATGCTGACCTGCTACAGTGAGCTAAGTCAGTTAGCAGTTTGTCGTGACTTGATTCCCGCAGGGGTTTAACCATGAAGAGTAAAACCTGTTGAATATTTGAGCTGAACACAAGCCCCCGTGTGTTTTTACATCTTATCCAGCTTAAACTAGTTATACAATGAGTAATATGTGCTGTCAGACTGACTTCAAGCATGTTTTAACTTCACTTTTTTTGTGTGTTTTATTTACTTCCTCACTTGAACTTATGAGTTGTCACAGGAACTTTTACTAGTGTTTCTGTGTCACAGCCACTAAATTCAGAAACATGGAGGATCCAGACAGACCTCAGAGGAAAATGTCAACAGCAGGAGACAGTTTGTACAAAGTCCTGGGCCTGGAGAAAGGAGCATCTGCAGAGGAGATAAAGAAGGCGTACAGGTGTGTTTTACAATGATGAATTATATTCTTATGTCTTTTTATTAAAACAACTGCACATCATATGTTCACACTCACTGAGCACTTTATTAGGAACACCTGTGCACCTGCTTAATCAGTCAATCATGTGGCAGCAGTGAAGGGAAAAAAAAAAAAATCCTGCAGACACAGGTCAGGAGCTTCAGTTAATGCTCACATTAAACATCAGGATGTGACATTGTTGTTGATGTCAACAGTCTCTAGAGTTTACTCCCCAGTGAGCGGCAGGTCTGGGGATGGACACACCTTGTTGATAAGAGAGGTCAGCGGAGAATGGCCAGACCAGTCGAAGCTGATGGACAGGCTACAGTTACTCGGATAACCATTCTTTACAACTGAGGTGGATGGGCTACAGCAGCCAAGAACAGAAAGCTGAGGCTGATTAATCTGGATCTACGCAGATGGTAGGATCAGAATTTGGCATCAACAGCATGAGTCCATGAATCCAGCCCGCCTTGTGTCAACAGTCCAGGCTGCTGCTGCTGCTGCTGCTGCTGCGGCGTGTGTAATGATGTGGGGAATGTTTTCTTGGCACACAGAGGTTTGCTGCTGATCATGCGCATCCCTTTATGGCCACAATTTACCATCTTCTCGTGCTCGCGGTTACTTCCAGCATGATAATGCACCTTGGCACGGAGCAATAGTCGTGACAATGAGTTCAGTGAACCTCAGTCATTCCAGTCACCAGATCTGAATCCAATATAACACCTGCGGGATGTGGTTGAACGGGAGGTTGGCAGCATGAATGTGCAGATGATAAATCTGCAGAAATGATCATGTCAACAAGGAGCAGAGTCTCAAAGGAAGGTTTCCAACATCTTGTCGAATCCATGCCACGAAGAACTGAGGCTGTCTCCAGAACAAATGGACGCTCTACCCAGTGTTGTTCCTAATTAAGTGCTCACTGAGTGTATACAACCTCCACCCCACCCTCTCTTTTTATTTCTCCACTATCCTGCCAACAACAAACAGAAATAAAAAAAAAAATATGGGAATAAGACAGTGGATAAAACAACGAGGACAGAAGACGAATAAGGAAAAACAAAGAGCTAAATAAGTAAATGAAGTACTTATTTTCAAAGAAGCTTAAAAATGTTTTCCAAGCAACAAAAATCCCTTTTGATCCCTTTTAGAGAAGCTAATCATTTCCAACCAAATGCAGTGCATGGCCTCCACAACACAGGTCCATGAACTGGTGGTGGGGGCTCCTTCCACTTTAATAACTAGAGTACAGAAGGCGTCCGACTCAAGGGAGCATTCCTTGAGGGCGCAGCAGAAGGTGCAATAAATGGAGATGGGTTCTAATGATGCTTTACATATTTTCTGACAAAGAGTAAAAGATGGATTTTCCCAAAATTTTGTAATTTTGGACGAGTCCCAATCGTGTGTTCTAGAGCAGCTGTTTCCTGTTTGCATCAGTCACATGTGGTATCGTCTGATCTCTCGCAGTCTAACGTTAGACCAGTGAGGAACTGAACGACATGTTCAAGGCAGATGGAGGACAATAAACTGAACATCTGAAATTTGTTCATTTGCATCTTCCTCCCATTTATTTATTTATTTATTTTTTTACTTATTTCTAATGTTTTCAAATTGTATGTGTTTTGATGAGGAAGGTTAATAAATATGTACGTTCTGTTTGAAAAAACCCTCAGTTTGCCCACAAAATAAAAAGCTAGTGAGATGAAAGAACTTATTAAAGACTGGATGAGATTATTATTCACTTATGATCTGTTTTGCATCTGGTTAAAGGACAGAGTTTAAAAGGGAAGGACAAAGACAAATTATTCTGTCCATTAAGAAATTAGCAAAAATCATTTTAATCTTTTGGTTCTTTTCTCCATGAAGCCCTTTGCAACTACTTATTATTATAAAATGTTGTTATAAAATACTGATAAATGTCTTTAACTTTCGTGGACCTTGTTTTAAACATTAATAAATCCTGTTTTCTTCCAGTCTTGAGATATATATATATATACTGATATGTACATTTACTGATTGTAGCCCTTTGCAATAGTTCCCCTTTATATTCATTTGAAAGTATTTTTTATTAGTAAGGGATCGGCACAGCTCTTGTGTAGATTGATGGATAATATCTTAAGTTCCTCCTGACAGCAATACTTTAACCCCTGGCACAGTGTCAAACATCATTTCATATTTCATTCTTCTGTTTCCAGGAAATTGGCGCTGAGGCATCATCCTGATAAGAACCCAGAAAACCCAGAGGCTGCTGAGAGATTCAAGGAGATCAACAACGCCAACTCCATTCTCAATGACGAGAACAAACGGAAGATCTACGACGAGTACGGCTCCATGGGCCTCTACGTGGCGGAGCAGTTTGGCGACGAGAGCGTTAAATACCACTTCCTCATGACTAAGTGTTGGTTCAAGGTGAGAGCTGTGGGAAGTGTTTTTTGAAATGATGTGTAACAAATGTCTGCAGATAATTTTTAATATTGTAGTTAATAATCTCACAAGCTTTTTATTTTGTGGCCAAACTGAGGGTTTTTTCAAACAGTACGTACATATTTATGAACTTTCCTTTGTGTCTAGGCACTTGTGGTGTGCTGCAGTATTTTCACCTGCTGCTGCTGTTTCTGCTGCTGCTGTTTCTGCTGCGGGAAGTGCAAATCGCCAGAAGACGGGGAGGATTTTGCCTACATGGACCCTGAGGACCTGGAGGCAGAGATCAGAGAGCAGGATGCAGGTGAGGGACTTTTGGCTTCACTTTAACTTGTACAGTAGACGAAGGCTGACATAGAAATGCAACGCCTGGAGAAACGCGTTATATTGTTTAGTTGATGTCTGTTACATCAGATAAATTACATTAAGTTAAAAACGAAGTGTTCTGTTAGCGTTTCTTCTTCAGCTTTCCAGAGAAATGTGGAATCGGCAATACAAAAATCCCACGATACGTAACACAGTCCAGTATAGTCCAACCAAAACAACATCGCACTAATCACACATTAAAAATGTATAGTAATAATATTCAGCACATTTATGTTCCAGTTTGGTGTCATTTGGATAAAAGGTTCATTTGTGACATTTGTATTTCCTGTGGAAAAATCTAAGTCCTCACACGACAACAGAGATTCATATTTTCCAGTGTCCAAATTAGGAGTCCTCTTCATGCTGTTTACGGCCCAGTTTTGTTGGGGCTGATAACATAGGTGCATTTTTATGTAAAGTTAAATGAGGAAGTTTAAAAACAGAAATAACTCAAAGCTGAACAGCAAGTGAAGATGGATAAATTCAAGTTGCACATTTCTTTGAGCAGAAACCTGTTTCCTGTCTTTTAAGAGATGGTGTTTTGTCTGAAAGCTTTATACATTCACAATGAAGCTTGATGAAGTCTAAAGGAATAGGAGTTAGATGAGAAGATCGCTGCCACTCTTATATCTGTGCAGGAAGTATGTGGAGCTCGTTGGTCTAGCTCAGCATAAAAACTGGAAACATGGAGACAAGTAGCGTAGCTCTGTCCAAAGTTTCCTGGTATCTGCTCCCAGTCAGAGAAATAGTTGATCACATAATAAAACACCAAATACACTTTGTTTTTGTTTTTTTTTTTTGGACAGATTAAACAAACAAGATGTAACATGTTGATAAATGAGTTTCGGTCCTGGGGGGATTTTTACTTCCTTTTTGACAGAAACAGTTTTCCCCGTGTTTTGAGTCTCTACCTGCTGCAGCTTCATGTTGAGTGTACAGTGATATCGATCTGCTCGTTTAACTCTTGGCAAGGAAGTGAATTAGCGTGTTTCCAAAAATGTCAAACTGTTTTTTTTGTTTGTTTTTTTTTTTTAAACTTGCCCAGCTCTTGGTCTCTGTTTTTGTTGATACTTCACCTGTGGAGTCCAGCCACAATAGTGACTGAAGATGTTCTGTTAGAAAGCAGCAGGTGATTTGCTCAGTGTTAAATTCTGTTTCACAGCAGGAGATCATGTCATAATTATTCAGCCGAGCCCTAGTGCTGCCAGTGACAAACCAGGTAAGGTTCTCCTCAGGTAACTTTCACCTGTCCTCAGCTGACTGCTGCTCTGCGCTGCTTGACGTCTCCGGCAGAACATGACACGGTGTTTAACTGTGGGCGAATTCATGTTGTGGCAACTTCTAACGCTGCTGGTCCCGGGTGTTGACCGCGTCGATGCCAAATCACATACTAACATTTTACGTAACAGGGATTTCTCTGTAGTAACACCTTCCTGCAAGTGGAGGCAGAAAAAATCAACTCACATGGTATCTATTCATAATCCGCGCCCCTTTATTAACTTTGCTTGCTTTCACTAATTAATAATGTTATCAGTGTTGAGCACAGTAGAAAAATAAATGTGCTAAAATGCTAAAGCTAAAGATCCAGAGCCGTTGTTCTCAAACTGTCAGACACATGAAGGAACCCACATGAATTTGGGAGATAAAGAAAAGATACATTTCTATAATACACGTTGTCTGTTAATTAAAAAATCAATTAAAAACTCTTCTAACCCATATATATACCTTGCATAAATCACTTACTGTTACTGTGAAAGATTCATAAGTTTGAGAACGACTGATCTTGAGTGACTTGCTGCTCTTTGTAGAAGCTGCTCTTCGCATGGCTTCTTCTTTACTGCAGTATATTGTCTCATATGATGTTATGGTTTATTCACCACACTGAATCCCACAGCTGGTGCTAGTGGTGGAAAGTAAATTATTTTTTTAGTATTTAGAAGTATATAAGTATAATAATAATAATAATAATAATAATGATAATGAACTGCGTTAATCTGATATGTCTGAAACTAATGATTATTTTCATTATGAATTAATCCCTCTAACAAGATTGATAGTTTCCTATTTGATAATATGTTTAGGTGCTCTTAATCTATGATAGTTAGGTTTTGTTCTGTTGGTCTGACGAGACGTCACTTCAGGAAGCTGGGATGGCCATTTTCAGTTTACTGATATTTTCTAAATTACTGGCCAATTATTCAAGAAAATAATCCCTGAAGCTGTAAAAATAAATAAATAAATAAACAGCAAAATTTGTCAGGGCCCATGTTTTTTCTCATACTTTTGTTTTATATAATTGTAAACTGAATATTTTTGGGGTTTTCGACTGTTTATCAGACAGAGACAAGCAGCAGGTCCTCACATTTAAAAAGATGAAGGCAGCATTTATTCTTGGTTGAAACGATCAATTATCAAAAGTTTAAGGAGAATAATTGACTGACTTGTGCTGCTATTATGAGGATAAATAGAGCCCATGACTGGAGACCAGTGTAATGGTGCATATACAGTATAAACACATGATACAGTGATAAATAAATACAGATAAGGTCAGATAAATGGTCCTTTAACAGTATTTAACTTCAATCATTCAGTTTCTCTATTGATTTTTTATTTTATTTTTTTTTCTATGTTTTTGAAATAAAGTAAAGAAACTGTTGCTGTGATTTAAAACCTGCTGTTTTTCACACCTGCAGGTGAGAACACACCAATTGTGATTCAGCCTCAAACGACTTACGACACCTCGGGGCCCGGAGCCGCCCAGCTGGACCAGTCCACCTGTAAGGAGTGAACACCTGAATGAATGAATGAATGAACGAGCTGGTCGAGTCGTGCCAGTGCTGAGAGCTTCAGATTCTTGACTGTCATAAAACCAGGTCATGGCTGATGATGAATTTAAACACGGTGTCTGTGTGTGTGGGTTTGAATCATCACAGAGGTGTTTTTGTTTACATGAATTTGATTGTGCCATAGTTCTTTTTTTCTTTTTTTTTTCCTTTTTAAATACCAGTGGGTTTGTCTTTGATCCAGTGTCATATTTATTTTTTTAAACATTTTATTTTTGAATATTGGGCAGTATCTGTGCTGGAGTGACAAATGACAAATTCATGCTGATCAAAGCTCTGGAATAACAGTTCTTCATGTGCACTTTAAAATCATAAGTTTTGTATTTAAAATCCTAAAGCTGCCACATTTCTCTGAGAACATTCAGACTCACGGGTCAGAAATGTTTTAATGTTTTCTTTTTTTTTCAAAAGGCCAATTCATGTTTCTCAGATTGTTAGAGGACAACCACTTGGAGATTTACGAGGTGTTCAGTCAGACTGCACATAGATACGTATTGTAGAAACAAGAAAAATGGCTTACGAGTCGCGTATTCGCCCGACAGTCTGTACAAAGCCCAGTGAGAATTAATAATGTAATGCTCACAGGACTTTGAGGAATAATTCTACATTTTGTGAGACTTTCTTCTTTAGAGTTAAAGAGAATATCGACACCTCTCTTCACGTTTGTTCATTATGCTGCATTCATGTCGTATGCAACTGATGGTAGAGACGGGAAAGAATCCCATGTTAACAACTTTTATATATTCGTTAAAGTTGGATTTAATTGCCAGGAACAATAGACCTTGGTTTGATGTGAGGCGTCCGTATTTGTTCATGAAACAGAATATGTGGACAAGGTTTAGTTCGAAGAGGGATTTAAATCAGATTCTGCAGAATTGATTGGATCACTAAAGAGTGGGCGTGGCTTAGTGAGAACAGCGTGATATGGAGCTGCAGGACCGTTCTCCAAAATGCAGTTTTATATGATCACTATTTAAGGCCAGTTTCATGGTTCCAGCTTTCCCTTGGAGGGGCGTGGCCTGTTCATACTGCAGTCAGGGCGGTCCTGCGTGCATGGACACATTCCACATGACAGCACATGGCTCCTTTGTTCGTTTCATTTGGCAGAGCAACATGAAAAAGTCAATAAAATGTTAATAGCTTAATGAGAATGGGACCCAGGATGGAAATGAACAACACATACACACACAGTGCATGAATCGACCATCCAGACGTGGAAACCGTGAATTGGGTTTTAGCTAGTTGCTCCGAATCACATTTAATTGGATAAATTTCTGTCACTTCACAGGATAGTGAACAGTTTAGACATAAAATTGCTCAAAAAGGGTTTTTCTGACTCATGTAACAGGAGATACATGAATCATCAGCACAGACAGAGGATTGGAAATGGTTTGACTTGAACAGAACTTTGTAGTTGGAAACTGGTACTTACAAATAACTCATTAGGTATATAGCTGGCACCGGGAGGTGATTAGCCTAGCTTAGCATAAAGAAAGGAAGCAGGGGGGGGAAACAGCTTCCCTGGCTCTGTCCATATATCAAAAACAAACCTCTAACGTCAACTTTCAGGAGTCTTGCTGTCACAAAAAGGTTTCCAACCTGGGTTATAGTTGGAGATGCTCTGTACAGAAGTACTGGGCGGATGGATAAACCGCTGTTTGTAAAGAAATAGTTCCAGCTGGGAACTCGCCCTAAAACCACAGCTTGTTGTTTTTACACAACATGTTGATGAGTGAGGTTTAGAGATGTTGCTAGGCATATTCTTGAAGTTTGCACAGAGCCAGACTAACTGTGTCCCCCAGTTTCCACTCTCTACGCTAAGCTAGGCTAATCAGCTCCAGGCCCTGGCCTCAGCTTCACCGCACAGACACGAGAGTGATATCGATCTTCTCATAAGGACGCTTGCAGAAATTAAGCGCATTCTCCAAAATGTGGAACTATTCCTTTTTAAGAGAGCGAGTCACAGCTCTGTCGGTTAGTTTGCTGTATCTGCACATTTAATGACCTCAAGGAGAAAAACACAAAGGGGGGGGGGGGTAATTTAACAGGTTCTGATGAGAGCTGCACAAATTGTAATTTTTTCTACACTAAAGCCGGCACTGTTTGATTTCTTTTTTTTTTTGTTCTGTTTGACCTGATGTCATGAGAATGTTTTTCCTCTGTGGTGTGTGAGATGACTTATTGCCTGGAGGTATGGTCAGATTGCCACTTTATGTTAAATACAAGGATTCATGTCTTTATGTAACATCAGAAATATATTTTTGATTGGAAGTCTTGTATTATATTTTACATTTCTGCTGGGTTTAGCTTCATTGGGTTGCATTTATACGAATCTGAATCTAATGGTATTTTTGTTATGTTTTTCTTTGGCATTAAGAATCACAGTCAGACAATATATTTAATTAATTGACAAACGTGCCTGATAACATTCACATGGGATAAAGTGTGTTTTCAAAAGTTAGTTTTATTAATTTTGTGATCAAAGGTTTTAAAGAAAATGTGTGTATTTTGTTTAATCATCTCAACATTCCCGGGTATTTTACTGTTCTTTCAACTTTTACATTTTTGTTTGTGTAAAATTAATGTTTTAAATAAACTTGGGTGAAACTGCAAATGTCATGAAGTTGCCACAGTTTTCTGTTAGTGACCAACACCTCTGAGCTCCGTTACCTGCCATTGGCTCCTGTTGCGCTCCACCCCTGACAGATAACACGCATGTTAGAGCAGGTGGGGAGTTGTCCAGCTTCACTCCTGAAGTGTAGTCACCTGAGAATATGGAGTTATCGGCAGATTCAGAGAAACAACATTTAATTGATGCTCATTTGGTGCCTCTTTTATCGTATGTTGTTATTCTTTTCATCCTCATAAATTTTCTTCAGCACAGATGGTTTTTAATTTATTGCTGTTATCTAATTATTTGGTCACAAACTATCTAAACTTTACATTTTGTGATAGATAATTTGTCAGGAAACCAGAAAACACTTCTGTCTTCTCTTAGGACGAGTTCTACAGAGGAAAAATATTCAGACTCTGGATCTGAGTTCAGTGAAGATGCCTCCAGTGTGGACGGTCTGTGGCAACCCGACCAGCTCTGCCAGGAGACGGACGCCGTGTCGGCGGCTGAAAGTGATGCAAGACGTTTGGCCAGGAGGAAACTTTACATCGCCTGCGCTGTCAGCCTCGTGTTCATGACCGGGGAGGTGATCGGTAAGATCAAAGATGATTAACATTACTCCACCTTCCCCAAATATACCGTTACGGGATATATACGTTGGGAATTAATTTAGAAGTAGTCCCCGTTGGTGTTTGAAATGTGCTTCAGGAGAATCAGCCTGTGCATATTCTCATTTGTCCAGGTCATGGTATCCTAAGGAGTTTTTAAATCAAAACGCAACTGGACTTGATTATTTGTCTGGGAAAAATAATCAAGTCCAGTTGCGTTTTGATTTAAAACTCCTTTAGGCTTTAGGAGAAGTCACAATGGTGGAAAGTAACTAAGAATATTTATCCAAGTACTCTACATAAGGTTTGCTGTTTTTTCATATAAAGAAAAACAGATTTTTAATATAAAACAGTGATGAAACTTATAAGATCATCTCTATATATGAGATGAGACGAGCAAAGGAACCAAATAAAAGTAGTAAAGTTTGACCTGGTGCAACATAAACATGCTGCTATTAGACACTGGCCAGTAACAGCTGACTGCACATGTATCACACTGGTTGTTGTGTGCGCCCTGGTTTTGGTGTCCTGTCCTATCTTGCGGCTACATTTGCCTCCCAGTTCCCTCTTCCTGGTTCACACCTGGGTGCAATCGGCACTCGGGGACAGAGGGAAGGGATAAAAGGGGCAGAAAGACACACACACAGACAGACAGACAGCTGTACCTGGGTGAGGGTCCTTTTGTCCTCTCTACCTTCTCCAAGCAGGGTTTGTTCCTCCACGCACAGATAGGGGCGGTGGGGTTTTGTTATTTTTGTTTATGTTCTTTCGGGCACGAGATTACCGGCAGTCATGTTATTCGTCTTTTGTTTTAGGTTAAGTTGGGTTTAGGTAGTTTAGGAGGAAGCGCTGGGAGCGACGGCCCACTGCGTGGTTGGCCCAGCGTTTACCTGTCTTTTGTTTATTTTGGCCGGGGTCTCCAGTCCTTTTGTTTTCGTTGGTTTAGGTCGATTATCTATGACTAATTTTGGGGATATTTCAATAAAGCTTGGGTGAAATGTTATTCTTGTCTGGTGTCCTTTTTACATATGTTGCAGCCTCCTGCCCCTTTTGAGCTTTATTCTTGGAGGCCGTAACACTGGTTTACATGTTTTTGGTCATGTAGAAACTTTTTATTGCTTCCTTTAACCTACTCATGAGGAGTCTAGTTATTTCCTAACCAGGGATTTCTCTCCTCTGCAGGTGGATACGCTGCTCGCAGTCTGGCCATCATGACAGACGCAGCTCATCTTCTCACTGATTTTGGGAGCATCCTGATCAGCATCTTCTCTCTGTGGCTCTCATCCAGGCCTCAGACACAAACCATGACCTTTGGATGGCATCGAGCAGGTGATATCTGACTTACTTGATGTCTTTTCCAGAGTGAGATGAGAGGATTGATAACAATATCAAAATCTGTGTCTCAAATATGGACAGGGCCGTAGAGACCACAGAGGACACCAGGTTCTTTTTTCTGGAAATCTTGTAAAAATTGAAGTTGTTAGAAACACAAACAAAACAGAAAATACATAAATGACTAAATTTATATATTTATTAATATTATTTTTTCTGTTAATATTCCTTAAATGTAATATTTATTAAAAAATGAAATGTACAAAATTCAAATGATTTGACAAAAAAAAAAAAGATTAAATTTCTGGTGTGTTGTGACCTCAGTGTCTCTAAAATCCCGTCTGTAGAATCTGAGTATGGAGATAGAACAACATATTTTAAGACAAATTTCTCCATAAATGCAGATCATTCCTAAGGGTTTCCTTACTGTCTGATGCCGCTGTAAATGATTGAATTTATATCATTTATTGATGTTTTGTGCGACTCACTCAGTTGTTGTGTTGAACAGAGATCTTGGGCATGTCGTTGTCCGTTGTGTCCATCTGGGCTGTGACAGCAGTGCTGGTCTTATCGGCCGCACAGAGGATCACTGATGGAGACTACGACATCGACAGTCAGATCATGTTAATAACATCAGGTTGTGCCGTGGGCGTCAACGTCCTGTGAGTGGCTCATTTTCTGGATTCTTGTGGTTCAGAGGGCGGGCAGCAGTGGTCAGACGCTCTTCTAAAAATAGTTTTGACTTTGTTTTCTTTAATCAGGATGGTGCTGATCCTCCATCAGTCCGGTGCGTCCCACGGCCACAGCCACGGGTTTTCCAGCAGCCGGCTGCAGAGGGACGGTGAGCGCCGGAGGCACGGCCACACTCATGGGCACGGCAACGCCAGCGTGAAGGCGGCCTTCATCCACGTGGTGGGAGACCTGCTGCAAAGTGTCGGGGTCCTGCTGGCTGCAACCATCATCCACTTCTGGGTCAGTGTCGCCAAAAGCACTCAATGATAAAATATACTGTCATGTGCCAGACCTGCACTAACAGTATTGGCTTTTTCTGGAGCTTTCAAATGCATCTCATGTCCTTCATCAGTGGATGGCGTTTGCTCAGTTGTCATCCTGAGTAGAGAACGACAGTCACGTGATAACAGGCGGTTGTAAATGGTGGCAGGTTGTCGACCTCGTCTCTTGTCAAACATGGTGAGCAAACACTATCAGCTGATGAAGTCAGTGAGGTGTGGTTGAAAGCTCAAAAACCTAGTAAGTGGATCTTGAGACTACTACGCTATTAATTTTAAGGCTTTCTAAATCTATTTGCTGTAAATACTGATGAGCACTAAATGAGTATTAATCCGCCGCTGACTATAGTCCCCAACAAATGCACCATTTAATCCTGTTTGACTAATATTTGCTAAATACTGCCGAGCTCAGCTATTTTAGGAAATCATTCTGCCTTTTTCAAAAATGAAACGACCATATTTTTGAGCTGCTTTTAAAGGATATCTGTCCTGGAAACAAATGTGCTGCCACAGACGGGGCTGGGGAGTCATAAAGTGTTGGGAGACAGACTAACATAGTTTATGGGAGGATTGTTGACGAAAAGAAGAAAAATATAGAACAACAGCAGCTCTATCCTTTAAACATTTAGTCATAAGAGCACAAAGATATAAATATACTTCAAAGGCCTTTAATTCCCTGAAACTGGTTGCAACTTATTATGACAGATTTGGTGACAGTTAGATAATATAAGTGCAACTGGAGCAATATATATAGTACAGTATCAGCATGTGGAGGCAGTGCAGACTCTTTTATCTGTGGTTTTATATTTGCTTTTAATCGTATTTCCATATTCCTCACAGCCTGAATATAAAGTAGCAGATCCAATTTGTACGTTGCTGTTCTCAGTTCTTGTTCTTGCGACGACATTTCCAGTCACCAGAGACGTTTTCAGGATACTGATGGAGGGTAAACGCACTTTTCTTTTCATGTGGTGACATTGTAATAACACAATTTTCATGACTATAAGCTTTTGTTATTCTGCAGCGAGTGTTTTCCGTGTTTCCTGCAGCCACTCCTCAGGACATTAACGTCAACACTGTCAGAGAGTTGGTGCTGTCCGTCAGAGGAGTCGTGGCCGTTCACAGTTTGCACACGTGGAGCCTCAGCATGACTCACTCTTTACTCTCTGTCCACGCGGTCACAGGTAAAGACAAAAAACCAACGCTGCTTATCTGTCACAGTCTGAGAGTAGATGTGGTGCACAGCAGCAAATTCATTAGTCAAGTAGAAGCTTCTGAAGTTTCATCTTTGTCAGAATTCAGGACTTTTGTAAATTCTATGGTAAATGTTTTTTTTTATTTTAAGAAGGAAACATTCATGCGCTCCTCCATGGGTGTGGTGTGGAATAAAAACAATCCAATTGTAGCTGCTTAAACAGATGGTTAAAAATAGAAAGCCTTTCATAAAAGGTTACTGGTGCTGTGTTCAAGATGATTGTAAACCATTACTTACAGAAAACGTCTGTATTCGTGTCCTCAGAGGAAGATGCTGATACGCAGATCGTCCTCCTGAAGGCAACAGAGCTGCTGCGCTCTGAGTTTGGTTTCTCCAAAATCACAATCCAAGTGGAGCGTGACAGTACCAGGGCCGTGAGATGACTGTGGAGACAGACTGATGACAGCAGGAACAACCTCCTACTCACCGCTTTATGACCGGCCGATGGTACAGCTGAACCTTTTTACATTTCAAGAGTTTGTGACACTGTTTACATGGATTCTTTAAGATGTTTTTGGCTGTTTTGAGAGCAGCTGCCAGCTGGCATCTATACACTGCTTCCTCACTCACGTGCTGAAGATGCTTCCAGCCTCTACGCATTTCATTTACAGGTAATTTCCTCTACACATGCACAACTTCTGATCCATGTTATGTTTGCTGGTGCACAGCTACTCTCCTGTAGATATTCAGAAACTTGGAGCATTTTGCACTTGCATAAATCCGACCGGTGTAACAGTTTTTTTCATTTGTGTATGACTAGACATGTTCAGTATTTGTTGACTGGTTGAATATAAACTGCAACACTGTGTTTACATTAATAATTGCTTATTTCTCAAGTTTTCTGATTATTATTGACATATTTTAAAAGTTTTTTTCCTCTAACGTAAATCTTTTCTCCTGCATTTGATTCATCTTTAAATATTTTTTGAGCCTTTTGGTCAGTTCAAGTTTAATCTGCATTCTCAGAAATGTATAAATCTTTGATGCCGATTTGTTTTTGCAACATCAGTGTCGATTTATTTCAACTGACGATCGTGGTCAGATGGAAAACGGTTCCTCAAACCATACAGGCACAGAATTATTAGGCTGTACAGTACACACAACAAAGTCATCAAACAATACGTTACAAATAATCTTCACACATAATATTTAATGAGTTAGTCTGGATCAAAGTCCTGGTCAAGATAAAATATGGAATATAAAGCACACGGATACGAAAGTTGTTGCTAACAAGTGGACATCAATCTGATCACATGCTCACACCAGTTTACTTGCTGAGTCAGCAGAGTAGACAACAAGTAAAAAACTAGGCAACATCTGGACATACTCTGGTCCAGGCTACCTGATAAAAATATCTTCACAGGTGAGAATGTGAGAGTTAAATTGTTCGACATACCACAAACAACACTAGAAACTCCTGGGTGCAACATGCTTCGGCTAGTGTGTGGAGTCGGGGCGTCCATCTTTCCAGTAGTTGTTGTAGGCGTCCTGGAACATGTTCTTGCAGGGGATTTTAGCTTTGAGTTTGGAGCAGATGAGGAAGGAGCCGCCCATCTTTCTGTGGAGGGAGTAGGTTTCCTCAGGAGGCGGCGTCAGTCGCTCCCTCAGCATCACGGGGATGAGGCTGTGGATGCGCTCAGTGGTGCTCTGAGCTCCAAAGTTGAAGGGCTCCTCAGCGGAGAAGGCCTCCCCGAGGATCATCACCGCGTCCACGTGGGCGTTCTCCATCGCCTTATTACAAGACATTAGGAGTTAATATACAGGCTCTAAAGCTCACTAATTAATACATTATATCTTATGTACAAAAACCGACGTGTGTGTTACAGGAGGTTACGTTCCTGACGACTTCTTGGCTCCAACCAGTAATTTCCTGGAGTCTCCACTGGCTGCTCCGAGCCAAGAAATTAGCCTGATTTAAGACTCCCCCTCAAGCCTCTGTTGTTAATCTGTACAATGACATTTCAGTTGGTTCTCCAACTTAGCAGCAGACATTACAGGGTCTGTTATTTCTTTAAGTTTCCTGGAAAGAACTTTGTAATTTGGTAGAAATTATGGTCAAAATAGAGACAGAGACAATTTTTTCAAAAGCAGGTGTTGATTTCTAAAGAAATTTCCTTGTTACAAAAATTAATTTAAACCTAACTAAATAGTCATTCATTATTTATTACATTACAAATTTGACATTTTTAAGTGGGACTGTATCAACTGAACAATCTGTCTCTTTTTCACCTGTAATTTGTATCAATTAAACGCAGAAGTTCTTTCCTCTAACGAGATGAGAAATGTACAGTATTTAGTGTGATGACTGATTAATTCACCCCTGCACCAAACACATCTGTTGTCGTGACAGCAACATGAGACTGGACTCAAATAGGAGGAATAATATAATATTGTTCTGACAGTGTTGTTGCAGTTCCTCCTGGTGACCAGCGGAGGCCGATAAAGGTCAAATAAGACTCAATCCCACTTTAATAAATGTAAAAACCCTTGGCTAATTTTTGATTAAATCATCACAAAGCAATTCACAGCATGTGTGAGGTTTAGAGCTGAAGATTGTGCTGAAGGTTTTTGTGTTTTTAAACTTATTCTCAGGACTGACCGCCTTGTTGTTTTTATCCCCGGGTTAGTCCATCAGTGCAAAACTGTTTAACAACAGTCATTTTTTAGCTGAATTTCACAGCGATTACAGCCGGTTGTGGTTTGATGCTGTAATGTTTCATGTTTATTACCTTTGACTCGTATCCTGTGAGAAACTTCATGTCTCTGGATCTCTGCAGGACGCCTTCTCTGTTCTGTTCTGCAGCTGCCTTAATAATCTGTGATAATACATGAGAGTCCACAAGTTAAATAAAAATAATTCTCATGAAATGTTTGACTGCATGAAAGTAAAGCACATTATGGATCTCTAATAAAAACAGATTCTGATTCTAATTGAGGTTTTGGGTCATTTTTATTCTTTTATGTGCAAAACGTGCTCAATTTCTTGTTATAACTTGAAAGCTTCCTTATTTCAACAAGATATGTTTCCATGAAATATTGTTTTCTTATTAATGGAATATACCAAAATTAACAATTTTTTAAAAGAACTTTTTCTTGTAATAACATCATTATAAGTTGGTTGGATGATACTCTCACTGTGTCTCATCCCAAACATGAAATAAAACTAAATGAAACCATATTAACCGGTTATGCTCATGTTTTTGGCTGGATTCTGAGAAATATTATTTATCTTAAGATACATTGATTTTATGAGATAAAATGAGAGATAAAAGAGTTTGGCATGTTATAATAACATGAAAATGTCATAAACTACAAATACTGTAAATGTAACTGTGGAAGTTTTACTTTTTTTTTTTTTACAGTTTCTTACCTCGATGTAGGTGTCAGTGAAGCTCTTATCGAATCCTCGCGTGGCTCCAAAATCCAACAACGCAACCTGATGACAATGAAGCAGAGACACAGACCTCAGTGAAGAAGGAACAAATAAAACGTACATACAGTGTTTCCGTTAGTAACTGAGGCAAACTGACCTTGTGAGCCTGTGGATCAAAGAAGAAGTTGGACCAGTTGGGATCAGTCTGCATGTATCTGAACTCAAAAAGCTCCCTCAGGCATAAAATCAAGATCTGCTCACAAATCTGTCAGAGGAGGAGGTGAAGAAAAGGGAAAGAGCTGAACTGTGTTATTATGAACTGTGTTGAATGACAAAAATATTGTCAGGAGAAACACGAGGAGCAACGGTATGATCCGTGATGTGCCGACACGTCTCGGGGGTTTTACAGATGGCATGTCTCTGTATTTGGCACATCACCTTGAACACCTTCAAAGCATGCAAGCGTCCTGGCAGTGCGCAGGTGTAAATTGTACTGTGAGCAGTGTTGAGTTCAGGGTGGCGTGAAGCTCTGCGGGGGGTACCTCATTCCTGAGCTCCTGAGAGAGGTCAGTGGCCTGGTCCAGAGGAAAACCAGGCACCAGCGTGGTGGTGAGGACATGTGGACTGCTCAGCTCGTCAATCACATCAGGCACATAGAAGAAGGGATGATCCTTCAGCAGCTCTCTGCAACACAAACGGCAACAACAAAGTTAAAGGACACATGCACCCGAGCCCAAAACTGTGGTGGTGCACAGGGGTATGTGTGTTTTTCTGGTCTTTGCAGTGATCACGAGCGGCGGCAGCCACCATGACTGAACAAAAATAGCGGTACCTACAAAAAACATGTCACAGTACCGAACGTACAAGTGAATTCTGGGAATTTTGGTGTGAAAACACAACAGCAAAAACTGCTTAGTTAGTGCCAAAGATGAATGTGGAAACAAAAAAGAAAACCTAAAACTGGACGTTACATTCGAAACACTGACAGTCACCACAGTTGTAAACAGCAGTTATTCCCAACCTGAGATAAATTAAACTAAAACTAAACTAACAAACTAATAATTTTTCTATATATATATATATATATATATATATTCCACATATTTATGTGAAGGAGAATGGGATTACAAAATTGGTGTGATGTTGATGTTAAATTTACAATAAGATGTGCATCAGCCTAAGTCAGTTGCATGAGCACCATGTGTTGTAATAAAAAGTGCATGAAAACTACTTTTGCAAGTGAGCAGGAAATGTTAAATAATAAAAGGAACAAATAAAAAGATGAAAAAACAACAAGTAAAAGACCAACTTTTGTCATTTTGGTAACAGTACAAATACAAACTTCACTGAGAACCACTGATATACAGTACTGGTTCCCAAACTGGAGGTCATGACCCCTATAAGGTGCTATGAAATGAATGTAGTGGGTCATGAGATGTTTTCCTAAGTAAATATTACTAAAAAAATGAATTCTAAAAAATAAAATTATGCTTTTTTCAGACTTTTCCTCCAAACTTTGCATTTCTCTTATGAAATGCTGCAACTTGATCATGTCAGGCCTTTAAAACTGACAATATAAAACAATCTGAGCAAGAAAATACCGCACAACAAGGAACCACAAGTTATAAGGCAGGTCAAACGCAGCCTGCACTCAGTCTGTGTAGTATCAATAACTGTGAACTACTCACTGGAATTTTTTAGCACATTTTGCCTCCCTTATGTAATCACACTCCAGCGCCAGCTCACGGCTCATGACCTCAATAAGGTGCTCAGGAAACAGACCTGTAAAAGAGGGAAAATATTAAAAAGCTGAAAATCATGACATTCAAGCTGCTGGTGGAGGTTAGTATGTTGACAGTAGAGGAAGTTACAAAGATCAGACAATAGCAGCTGTTATCAAGAACAAGATAAAAAAAACCCTCCAACAATGTTACCGTCAGGCAGCGCGTTGCTCAAACTCAGAGCAGTCATGATATTATTCACGTCACTGTCGATACTCTTGGCAACCCCAGGGTACTGAAAGAAAAGATTTGAAGGTGTGATAGTGAAGTTCACTGTGTTCTGCCTGTACGTTTTATCTCTGAGCAAACACACACTCTCACCTGAATCTTCATGGCTACCTCTCTGCCGTCCTTCAGCCTCGCTAAGTGCACCTGACCGATAGACGCAGCTGCAAACGGCTTCTCCTCGAAGTACTCCAGCTTGTCTCGCCAGTGCGGGCCGAGGTCACTGCTGATGGCTTTCTGCGGAGAGGAGAGTATCCGTCTGACCTAATGAACTTGGTTTACAGAGTGCGAGTTGTTCTCTACGGCTCTCCATACTGTACCATCATCTGTTTAGTGGGCATGAAGTCGGCGCTCTGACGAACACGCTCGAAAATTTTGGCCAGCTGAGGGTTGATAAAAGCATCGTCTGAGAGAGAGAGAGAGAGAGAGAGAGATAGAGCGAGAGAGATAGAGCGAGAGAGAGAGAGAGAGAGAGAGAGAGAGAGAGAGAGAGAGAGAGGAAGA